GATCAATTAATCGCAATGATTAAGACTTGAAGAACAGTTAACATAGACTGAAAGAGACTAGACTTGACGAGTAATAAATGGATGAATGAAGTTACAATACCATCTCACATGTGGAAACACTGATGCACAGATTCATCGTCGTTGACTGGCTTCAATGGAACTTGATGTGAAGTCTGTTTATTGTAACAAATAAATTGTGTTATATGTTCGTCCCAAAGCCATTTTCTGCACGGACCACATTCGTCGACACAGTCATTCCTAAATATTGCGCGATAAAATCAGTACATCCTTAGGACAATATGTCTGAAACTATTCACTTCACATCCTCAACAAATAAATCTGTGTTCTTTGTAAACGCCATGGTCGGAGTCAGTCGACTGATCGATTTGCCAGTGTGGTTAATGAGTAATTAAATTCTCAAGTTCCATTTGTGAACAAACACTCAACAACGCAAGTCATGCGTTCTTAGGGTCGATTGATTTGGCAGTAATGATAGGAAATAATAGGCAGAATTGTATGCTTCTCGGGTTCCGAAGACCAAACAGCTGACACTCATTTTGAATAAATTGTGTTTGTGTGTTTTGCATGAGGTCCACTTGATATTATTTATAACGAATTCAACGAAGGAAAACATTTTAGTTAACACGGTATACGTTTGCTTAAATTGGATATTTTTTGTAAGTAGGCATATACACTGTCACACCTGACAGTAACAAGCTCATCATCATTCCCTAAGAATTCTAAATATCAATAGTCTTTTGTTTACAGCTTCTATAGCCAAGATAACTAGTGTGATACATTCCAATGGGAAGATATCCCTGTATTATGAGAACGTAAGTTGTACAATTGAATGGAAATAAAATTTTGTTTGAAGTACTATAGCTTAATCCACTCTTTCTTGCGTATCAATAATGTCGAATGAATCAAGATACATTGAATACGACAGAAAGAGATCAACTTTTGTAATGTGCAAACGGACTATGTGACACTATTATTAATCATTTAATGACACACACTTTAATGTGCCACTTGAGAAAAACAGTGAATAATTAGAAGTGAAGAGTCATCAAAAGAAACGATGATGTCTCTTCGCGACAGATAGAAATGAACAGTATATTGTAGAGTACAGCACGGACACAGTCATATTATGACAAGATTTATTTCGTCTTCTGGAGATAAGCTGTTCGGAAAGTACATTGCAGAATATTCTGAGGGATTTAGTGTTTAAACTGTTGATCGTTTCACAGTGTGTATATTTTTGAATGTCAGTGTTTGATACTTCCAATACTTCTTTTCAGATCCCCACGGAACAAGAGCAAAGTCCACTGACCTTGATAATTGAAGGTGTAATTCAGTGTGGAGGTAACAATTATTGCTGGTATTTTGATGTAGAGTAACCATGTCGACAGTTTTCTGTTAACGTAATATTACATTCCATTTGTACACGGTTATCTGCATGTCAACATAGTAACCTGCTGTTTTCGCTCACAGTGATCATACATAACTGTATTACAGTCTACAATGATTAGTTTATTTGAATGTAAGACAAATCGATCGAAGTGCAATTAAAGTGTTGAGGATAATCGTGAGGGATAAAGTCGAAATACTTTTCGTAAAATCACTGTCCAAAAATTACTGTGTACTGGATATTCAACGTCAATTATATGTTTACAATTCTTGAATGGAATTTCTGTAGTTACACCCGATAAAGAATCTTAGTGAAACCCAATAATGAAAATGTCTAATGTCTTTGGAACAATGGAACACTGTATTGAAATCAAAGTACATGTGTTTTTAATTCAACAACGGTCATCCTTATCACTGTAACAAATTCGATTTGAGTTGTTGTGATGAACTTGTAATGGTTCTGTTTCAGTGTTTTGTGATAAATTACACAAACAGTGAATTTCGTGATCCACATTTTCTGACGTTTTTTTAACCCAATATTCCGAGTGATAGAACCATGATGTGTGAACATCATTACAGTAAAACTGTGGCTAGCTATTGGAGAATGCTTACGCATACATTTAACGACGGACTGATCCAGACAGGGATATATGAACGACAATATTTGACAGACCATATATCTACTGATTTATTCACTCGCTCACTCACTCGCTCATTCACTCACAGAACAACAGTCTCAGTTGTAGTCCTCAGTCATATGATTACTCAAACAGAAACAAAAGAGTGATGCTTGTAACTGATAGTTGTTTTATGCAATGCTCAATCTTCATGCCATACTGAAGTGATCATGTGTTGTCTTAACATCAAGCTCAGTTTCAAGATAAGCGTTTAGTGAAAGCGATTCGGTGGGATACAATGTTTTGTCATTAAATGTGAAACAATGCACTAAATATTTGGTCAAACGGTATACATTGATTAGTTGAAATATGTTGCTTAGTCTTTAACATTAAATCTCAATGTTGACTATGTGTAATTTGAAATGTCGAAAGAATTGTACCGAGTTGAACATGTTTCTTGAAGATGTTGCACTGATAATGTTTTAAAATGAATCAGAAATTCAATATTATCATTGTTCATTTACTAGTTGAACACCGGCCGCTTTCCATATCAGTAATGATGTAGAGCATGTTTTGTGAGGATTTCGTATGAAAAACACTCTATCTGTAATCAGAAATTTTTAAGTCTTAATTTTACGGTACATGAAATGATGAAACGAATTGTTATTTAATTAACAAGATATCAAAATTTTAAGTGTTTTTAAAAAAATGTATTTCAGATGAGAAAAGAGCTGAAATAGTAACTCCTCGACAATGGATAACAAGTGACACGTTAGTGGAGTTTGAACCTATCGAGAGTATGTTAAACCTTATTTAATCAGCATTGAATATTTCCTCACTTGAATATATCACTTCTGTTTCATCATATTATAAATTCCAAGTGTAATTTTATTTAGCCATTTCACGATATCCAGTATTGTTTCTCTGTTGACGCTTCCCTTGCTATTAATAATTACACGTCGATGTGCTGTTGGATATTCAGAATGATTAAGTAATCAATTTGAACTACTACAGAAGTCTTTGCTTTCACCAAATTTACAGATGTGAGAGAACCTGAAATAACAACTCCTGCAGAATTGATGACAAGTGACACGTCAGTGAAGTCTGAACCTATCGAGAGTATGTTAAATCTTATTTAATCATCATTGAATATTTCCTCACTTGAATATATCACTTCTGTTTCATCATATTATAAATTCCAAGTGTAATTTTATTTAGCCATTTCACGATATCCAGTATTGTTTCTCTGTTGACGCTTCCCTTGCTATTAATAATTACACGTCGATGTGCTGTTGGATATTCCACATGATTAAGGACTTAATTTGAACTACTACAGAAGTCTTTGCTTTCACCAAATTTACAGATGTGAGAGAACCTGAAATAAGAACTACTGCAGAATTGATGACAAGTGACACGTCAGTGAAGTCTGAACCTATCGAGAGTATGTTAAACCTTATTTAATCAGCATTGAATATTTCCTCACTTGAATATATCACTTCTGTTTCATCATATTATAAATTCCAAGTGTAATTTTATTTAGCCATTTCACGATATCCAGTATTGTTTCTCTGTTGACGCTTCCCTTGCTATTAATAATTACACGTCGATGTGCTGTTGGATATTCGAAATGATTGAGCACTTAACTTGAACTACTACAGAAGTCTTTGCTTTCACCAAATTTACAGATGTGAGAGAACCTGAAATAACAACTACTGCAGAATTGATGACAAGTGACACGTCAGTGAAGTCTGAACCTATCGAGAGTATGTTAAACCTTATTTAATCAGCATTGAATATTTCCTCACTTGAATATATCACTTCTGTTTCATCATATTATAAATTCCAAGTGTAATTTTATTTAGCCATTTCACGATATCCAGTATTGTTTCTCTGTTGACGCTTCCCTTGCTATTAATAATTACACGTCGATGTGCTGTTGGATATTCAGAATGATTAAGTACTCAATTTGAACTACTACAGAAGTCTTTGCTTTCACCAAATTTACAGATGTGAGAGAACCTGAAATAACAACTACTGCAGAATTGATGACAAGTGACACGTCAGTGGAGTCTGAACCTATCGAGAGTATGTTAAACCTTATTTAATCAGCATTGAATATTTCCGCACTTGAATATATCACTTCTGTTTCATCATATTATAAATTCCAAGTGTAATTTTATTTAGCCATTTCACGATATCCAGTATTGTTTCTCTGTTGACGCTTCCCTTGCTATTAATAATTACACGTCGATGTGCTGTTGGATATTCAGAATGATTAAGTACTCAATTTGAACTACTACAGAAGTCTTTGCTTTCACCAAATTTACAGATGTGAGAGAACCTGAAATAACAACTCCTGCAGAATTGATGACAAGTGACACGTCAGTGAAGTCTGAACCTATCGAGAGTATGTTAAACCTTATTTAATCAGCATTGAATATTTCCTCACTTGAATATATCACTTCTGTTTCATCATATTATAAATTCCAAGTGTAATTTTATTTAGCCATTTCACGATATCCAGTATTGTTTCTCTGTTGACGCTTCCCTTGCTATTAATAATTACACGTCGATGTGCTGTTGGATATTCCACATGATTAAGTAATCAATTTGAACTACTACAGAAGTCTTTGCTTTCACCAAATTTACAGATGTGAGAGAACCTGAAATAACAACTCCTGCAGAATTGATGACAAGTGACACGTCAGTGAAGTCTGAACCTATCGAGAGTATGTTAAACCTTATTTAATCAGCATTGAATATTTCCTCACTTGAATATATCACTTCTGTTTCATCATATTATAAATTCCAAGTGTAATTTTATTTAGCCATTTCACGATATCCAGTATTGTTTCTCTGTTGACGCTTCCCTTGCTATTAATAATTACACGTCGATGTGCTGTTGGATATTCAGAATGATTAAGTACTCAATTTGAACTACTACAGAAGTCTTTGCTTTCACCAAATTTACAGATGTGAGAGAACCTGAAATAACAACTCCTGCAGAATTGATGACAAGTGACACGTCAGTGAAGTCTGAACCTATCGAGAGTATGTTAAACCTTATTTAATCAGCATTGAATATTTCCTCACTTGAATATATCACTTCTGTTTCATCATATTATAAATTCCAAGTGTAATTTTATTTAGCCATTTCACGATATCCAGTATTGTTTCTCTGTTGACGCTTCCCTTGCTATTAATAATTACACGTCGATTTGCTGTTGGATATTCGAAATGATTAAGCACTCAACTTGAACTACTGCAGAATTCTGTACTTTCTTGAAGTTTACATAGAAATCACGCCACAAAACGATGGATGAGATGATTTAATACTCGAAAATGTTTATCATTTGTTTGCGGTATGTGATTTATCGAGGAGGCGTTCGTTAGTTTTTCATTCAGTATATATGATGTCCAATTTATCTGGGGTATTGAAATCACTGAAACACTACATGTTATTGTGATTACATTGAAGGTATTTGTTTCATTTCTAAAATCTCTGCTTTGTCATGCTTGTTCGATAAATCGAAGGTGTAGACAAGTCACGAGTTCAAATTGCAATTTATCATAGTCGATATATATGTACAGTAACAAACTTACTGACGATTTACACAACATAAGACTGTTTCCTTTCTCATGAACATGTAAAGTGAGTGTCTACAGACACTTTTCAGTTCACCATGTGTTAGACTATTGAAATAAAATTTCGAGTACTGGGAGAATCGCTCGATACATTAGTGTTCGGATCGCCTTCAGTATTTGTCGAACAAAATATTATTTTCACTAATTCACTGAGTCTGATGTGCTAACTGACGTTAAACATACTAGAACGTGGCCACATATTTTGAAACCTTCTATCACATAAGAGGTTAAAGAGAATGTTTTTGTGGAAGCCACAATGATGATTTGAAAAACAAAATTACTCCTCCTTTGTCTTGCCATCGAATGAAACAAATTGAAAATAAGTTTTCGGCCTCAGAACAGCTGACCTTCATGCACTGATTTCGAAATAGTCAGTGCCAGTGAGCTCACGAATTGATTGTGCACTTAACATATGCAGAAACGGTATACAAGATGTAGATTGATGATAAAACTGATATCAGTTACACGTTTTGTTATTCACGTATCTTTGTTTGATAACTTGAAATGTCGTCTCGCTAATTTTTTCCACAGTAAGTTGTTCAAAACACGATTCCATTGAAAAATGCCAAAATGCAACAACATCAAGTGTGAAATGTATCTGGTTTGAAAAGGCTAATATGTGCATTAAGAGCGATGATAATGATGTTACAGTAAGTAATTGTTAAGATTCATAGATTGTTTACAAAAATGCTACATTCCACATTGTACATCCGATTACTCGGAAGAAAATTTCATTACAACGAATACGTTTTGATTTCATGGTAACAACAAACAATGAAGAGAGACGTTGTTTAACACAAATGCATGGAGTCATATTAATTTTTGAGCTCACTGAGCTTGTAGTGACTTCAGAAATCCAATATGAAAGCGTATGTCAATGTGAATTGCCATGAATCACCGATGAAATTGGTTTGAGTGATGAAGCGTATTCCGTTGGAAATTGTATATTGTGTTTGGATAATTATTGAAAGTTAGTAGACTCTAGTTGTTAGAGTGCAGAACAAAGGAATCACTGAAATTCACACTGAAGAAAAGTTCGGAAAAATACTGCAACTAACTGAACCTTATTTGGTGAATATTTGATATTTAGTATTAACGCTACTGTTTTGTTTCTCTTTCAGAACACCACTTCAGAAATAAATGGACGCAGTAAACATAATAACACACCTCGTTACTTGTATATCGTGATACCAGTAGTCGTCGTCGTCGCTTTCTGTGTCATATGCATCGGTTGTGCTATTTGGATGTATAAGAGAAAGAAGAGTAATCCATGATTTACAGAATCGTCTTATCGTTTGTTTTTATTATTTTGATCGAGTTGTTTTATTCTGTATTTCATCCGGAAACTTCTTCACATTTTGTTAACCGTTTCAATTATTTGAACAAGTTCTATACAATTTTATGTTTGTCAACGCATCGACTGAAGTAATTCGGTTGATTAAATAACTGAAATAGTTTTTTTTTAATATTGACGTGAATTATTTTCTCTCAGTTAATAAAAGCTGAATTATATTAGAAGAGTTTTACAGCATTTAGTTTGGAAATGAGCAGTATTCTGTATATGTGATTATGTGATCATTGCAATCAATAATGAATCCGTTGTGAATGTTCAGTTTGATGTAGTCTCACCACGGGAAAATATTATTTGAAATTTACAACGGTCATTGTTATAAATTGATCAGTCAAAATACCATACTAGTTGAGCGTATACTCACGTAAGACTGAAGAACAGTGTGGATTGAATAAAGTAGTAACAGTCCGACCGTAGCATTGCTAAGACGACAGATTTGAAAAAGAAGAACACTATGGTGTTTTTCTACCAGTTGATGATCACTTCATTATACACTATTTATTTAATAATTATTCGCACTTACACGTTATTATGACAAAGGATATTGCAAATATTCATTTGTATTGTTTGATTGAGTCTTCCCGTTGATGTTTAGGACTGCAATCACACGGTATGACTCAACCTTGCAGAAGTGGTTATTCTGTATAACTTGTCTTTAATCATGTTGATTATATTATTCTATATTTAGCCTAAATGTGTTCTTTACAAGCGCCAAACGTTAGATCGTGCATTGTTACTATACGACTAGTCAGAGTAGACAATGATGTGACTCCATGTAAGATCATATAGATTAGGCAGTCACATCATGACATATCCACAATTTTAGGATTCGGTCTATTATTGTAATGGTACCAATAACAAATTAGATCATAATTCCACACAATGTGTAACTTAACTGATCAAACCACACGTCACTGTCACATTACACGTTCAGCATAACCCAAATGTGACTGATAGACTAGACTGAACACAAGAAATCAATCTATTTCACGGTTGAACATACAATTATCTAATACGTCGTATGCAAGTGGTTATGACATTTTTCTCCACATTTTCAATTATGTACAACAACGACTATTAGGGTATACATCGTTTACTGCCTAACAACATTGAGCAAATATTTGTCCAACATATGAGTCTCATTGATATGAACATTCCAATCCCTCAACGGAAATCCATTGTTCTTCTTGCGTTGTGTGGTAGGTTTTACGAATGAAACGTAGACCTCATGCAGACAAAATAGGATAATCAGTAGAATAAAAGATAAAACCGTAGGGAACTGAAATACGAAAACAAAAATGAAATAACGATGAGTTTTCTGAGTGACAACTCAAGGAAGATGGACAAATTGTGTATTTAGTGTATTGTTTACAAATAATGAAATAAGATCGTCATCAGGCTTTCCTCTAATATACATGAATGTTTATACGAAAACGTAAACCAATCAAGGCAATATGGGTCAATACCCACAATGAAATAGAATAAGTCTCTACACATAAAATAGGTAAAAGTACAAGATGATAGTAGTAGGATGACAGGTGAACTGATAGTAGTAAGAAAAATAAACTACAATAACAAAACTCTTATCAATAGTTAATCGTTGGAAATAGAAGGTCAAACAAACGTGGATAAATAGACTAGGAATAGTCAACACAAAACATAAATTGGGGTTCTATGTGCGAATTCCAATGACCTCAGCTATTTATAGGAGACGGAAACGGACTCCGTCGGGAAATGATGGAGGTATACGATAGATAACTCGAAATGATTTCGATTTATCTAAAGCATGACCGCTATCAATAAGATGTGCCAATATAGAACTGTGAATAGATTTTCTCTGGCCCTTTATATACCAAGTTGGTAGATGTTCACTCATTCGTTGGTTAAGTTGCCTGGTAGTACGCCCTATATAGCTATCTCCACAGGAGCAGCTGAGTTTGTAAATGCACATGGAAGAGGCCAACTCAGGTAACTTATCCTTCGTTTGAGTAGATGTCGCTGGTCGACAAGAGAAGGTCAACGCAAGATTGGCTTCGTAGAATGTCCTGGTGATTACTTTGGTTAACCTATATTTCAGAGTGTCACTAGCCACATCCCCGTTGAATTGCACTTTCATGTATAAAGGTTTCTTACGAACAGTCGAAATCTCCGACTCCTTTATTATATCATGCATGTTCTTCCTAATGAACGCGCTGGGGTAGCCGATCTCGGTCAGTGAGTTGTTGATGAATTCAAGCTCCTGACTTAGATTGTCTACTGTACAGATCTTTTTTGCTCTACTAGTGAGACATGGGTGTGAAACTGCAGAAGTGAGTATATTGGGCCTAGAGGCGAGCCCATGGCTATCCCGTCTATTTGTCTACAGTAAGTATTGTTGAAGACAAAATGTACATTCAGAGTGCATTTTGGGGAAAGTTAACTTAGGTTATCGTTGGGCAAGCCAATGTTGATTTGGTTTTCTGATATTTGCTTGCATATAAACTTAATAGTCTCTATAAGTGGTACGTTGGTGAACAAGGATCCTACATCCAATGAGATCACATTTTTCATACTAACAGTAATATTTTCTACTTTGGAGGTGAAGTTGAAGACATCTTTTACACTATTTCTAACAACTGATGACGATCTGATTGAAAACAATTGTTCGCTTATATGTGTTGTTCTAATTTTCACAATGGGAATCTTTAATATTCTAAAATGATGAAATGTTTTGCTGTAACAAAGTCTTCGTTCATAACAGATGTTATATTGGTAGTTTTGATAGTAGTAGAAGCTGCAGTAGTGGTTTAATTGGTGCAAGTATTGTAATGCGTAGTAATATCATTAGTTTTGTTAGTGATTTTAGTGATATGAGTATTAGAATAATTAGTAATAATAGTAATATTACTGGTAACGTCAGTAGTATTATTATTAAAGGTCGTAGTAGTAGTAGTGTGAGTTGTTGTAAGAGTATTAGCATTGTTACTTTTAATTATTGTACTTGTTTTAGTAGTATTGATAGCACCAATTTTATTAGTTTCAGTTCAAGTGGTGATTGTAGTAACAGTATACGTGGGACTATTGGTCTTGGTAGTTTTACGATTGTTATAAGCAGTAGCATCGTGATGTGTACTACTGATGTCGACAGATATAAGTTTTATGTATCATCAGTCGAAGGTGAAATGCCTGTAGTCTGAAGGTTGGAGTCATTGAATAGAAGAGAACGAGAACAGTGATTGATTGTTATGGAGATGAAAGAACTATAAATTCTGAGACAATTGATTTACATTGTGCAAATGAAGAAGTTACTGTATGGTTCTAAGAACTTACCAAGAAATTATGTAATGTTGTATCAAAATACATTTGGTTGTCCCCATCTGCGTTCTCGTTCACTACAGTCGTAGTAATGGTCCAAATGTTAGCAATATGGAAAGGGTCTATATATGTTGAGTGTTATTAAAAGGTATCTGCATAACAGATATACATAGGCTTCATAGGCTACTTGCACTTTGTGATGTTTTGGCGATCCTAACTTGGTTTACGACTGTTCTCTACGAGTTCTGCCTACACCGTGCTTTTGATATTCGAAAACTCTACTCACAATCAAAGGCCGGTGATAACTTTGAAGTCGCGTTCCACTTCCTACTATTTATAAGGAATCTTATCAGTAGCGTGCTCTATTGTAGTGGTGGAAGATGTAGTATTGTTGTGATGTATACTACCTATGCTGGCTGACATGAGTAATATTTAATACAAATCAAAATTAAAATGTCTGGCAACAGAATAATGTAAAAATCGAGTTGAAGAGAACGTATATACATAATAAGGAGTAATTGTAACAAAAAAGAACTGAGGAACGATGAAATTTATGAGGGGCAACTGACGGAAGATGTACGAATGAAGTATTTCATGTACGGTTTTCATCTTTTACGACAACACTGTGATTTCGCATTTAAAGTTAATTTGGTTGGCCTCACGATGTCTTCGTTCACCGTGGTAATAATAATAATAAACATAGTATTAACAATGGAAGCGGCAATAATGTCAGTGGTATTATTATTATGAGTAATTGTATCTTTGTATTATGATCATTACTGTTAAGCGGTTTAATTATGGCACGAATGGTAGAATTTGTAGAACTAGCAACAATGATAATGAATCTACTGATAGTATCGGCAGATGTAATCATAATAGTTAGTATAGGATTGCGTAGTTTGTCGAGTTTTATTTCAGAAGAGCCAATCAAAGTAAGAGATAATTTTCTGAGTTCGATTGGGATGCCATGATCATTGTGGTTGATGTGTGTCAGGTATGGGCCAGTTACTCATCTAAGACGATGGAGGATAGTCGCAAAATTTTGTAGATTGTTTGAAGTCAGACATTATCACTATAAGATACCAGCTCAATGATTTGAGGATAATCGGTGGCGCGCGAGAATGTATGTCATGAGCTCGAGCCATACGATAAGAAAGTGTAGAAGTTTGTGGATAATGTAATAATTACCTACACTAAAATGTTTGCCATACAGCAATGCATACAACTACGGAAGTATTATGTGTTCCAGACAAATATACATATCACATATTGAATCGATCTGAAATTGTGGTGAATGTTTCTTCTAAGACAGTTATGATTTAATGAACGTCTGAGTTGAGGTGATAACATCATCTGGCTACAAACATCTCAGTAAAATTTTTTAATGACATCTTCCTTATCCAGCTTCGGTTCAATTTGAAGTGCGTTGAAATGTTGTGATGAATATATTCAACAGTGCTGTGTCTTTATGAAAACCAACACGTAACATAACAATCGAGTTCATTTTGATAGACATCTTGAAACCTACAAATTTGTTTTCGTCCGAGTAGACGCTGTGAAAAATCCACTGGAGCCACCATATGAAGGTCATTTTAAAGTAATTAAACGCACTCACAAATACTTGATTATCAACAGAAACGGGAACAAGGAGACCATTTATATAGACAGAATAAAACCAGCTTTCCACAAAGCCTCTCAAGGCAAAGAAGAGAACACTGCGAATAAAAAGTCCCTTCCATCAATTACTGCGAAACAAGAGGAGGATGAAAAACTTAGCACTACACCTTCTTGCTTAACACGTTCTAGTAGACTT